TGGCCATATCACGTGGTGGTTTTAATTTCGTTTGCAATGAAATCAACTATTTTCACTGTGGATCTCCGTGAATGCAAGCCTACTCCCAGATCTACTCCAATTGCAGTTAGCAAATCTATCTGCCCTTCAATGTCTGAGAATGGTTTACATCTTTGTACCAGATTGTAAACTGTAAAAAATATTGTGCTAGTAGTGGATAAATGTTTTCCAGTTGACTTATCTACGGATTTTGTTAAAGCATCCTGCTCCCGTTGTTTAATGTTCTCTCTACAAATGGTGTTTGATTTTGATTGAAAATGTTCGTTCATTTTTTTCTGAGATGCTTGCTAATTCTCCTTATTTGTCCCTGCTGCCTCAACCTGGAAATTTTTCCATTCTCTGGAAACATGAAAACCTTTCTCTAATGAGAACCTGTGTTTCACACAGTACTCACAACCTAACTTTTTGTCGGACACTGCCAGTTCATCATACTTCTCCTTGAAGTTTCTGCATTGCTGCCAATTCCAGCAGTCAGGAAGTTTTGGAAGACTTTCAGTGGAGGAGATGGACTTGCTGCTTTCTCTGACTTCAAGTGGTGGAAGTGGCCGTGCTGGTGGTGCTGGTCCACCTGCTGGTGCTGGTGGTGCTGGCACTGGTGGTACTGGTTTACCTGTTGGTGCTGGTGACTGTTGTGGATCAGCTGATTGCTCCTGTCTTGGTTTTTTGGTGAAGAAAGCGGTCACACTCTGTTGCTTCTTCTTCATCCTGTTAAATAATACTAACTGCAAAAGAAATAAAACAATATTGTGCTTTGGACTCAATTGTGGTGTAAGCTGAGGACTACAGGTAACAGAAGAGATCTCTGTTTTCACCCAACAATGTACAGTCTTTTCAGGAAGGATGTCTCACAACAAACAGGAAAGATATATTTTTTCATCTAAGAAGTTAGATCAAGAAGAATGAACGTCATACGTAGATTCACAGAGCAATACAGATTTCTTTTTCTGAAATTTATTCCTCAGTTCAAAAAACAGGAATATCTGAATTAGGTTCAGTACTTAGGTCAGTAGCTATTCAAGAGTTAGTGGTGTCANTGTATGTTAATTACTGTGAATAAATTGGCTAACAGTCATCTTGTGTCGGTGTGACTCACCGTATGGAGAGGGGGTCAGGACACATTTGTAACACTGAAGACAACAGGAATGTTGTCTCAATGCTCAAGTTACAACTGAAGTTCGAAGTTATAACTTACAACCTGAACACTAGAAGTCAACATTTTTGGCAAAAACATCACAGATTGCCCTTATGAACCACAGAAGCAAACGGCCATAAATACATTTCTCTCTCTTGCTACAAAGTTAAACTCAATGTTTTATTTCACAAGCATAATTTAAAGAGACCCTTTTCAGGCGAAAAATAACAAAGAGAGCAAACGGAACTTTAATACAAACGATGCTTGTATTAAAAGCATTTTTCAAAAAATAATTGGGGCACATTATTATTATTATTATTATTGGCTAGAGAATCGATTTTAGGTGAGTACTTTAACCGGTTAATTAAGCTCTAATTTTCAAGTAATGTAGTTTTCAAATGCGATCAATTTTTCAGGAAAGCCAGAAGAAGGGTGGATTTCGGTTGACTCCTCCTTTAACACCTCAAGAGGATATTCCCCTGAAATACAATATAAACCTAATTCTATGACAAATTATACTGTGGTGAACCGTGAATTGTAATATTGGAATATCAATCTGTACCATTCAGGAGGCAGAAACTACGATTCTCAACAGTTTCAAACCTCTATTATTCCAGTGCTAATAATGTGCAGCCCCCCTAAATTGTCTTCGTAATTGATTCTAACCACCCGACTTCACAGCTGCAGGCTTTTCCAGAATTGTCTTGCTTCTAGCTAATTAAAGCCTTCCTCTGTCTTGCTAAAGGAAGGCAAAGCTGTGATACGATGGTTGACTTACCAGTTACGTTAATTGAAAACTTCAAGTCTGCCATTCTGTTTCCCTCTCCATCTGCCACATCAAAAACAAAGAAAAATGTCCCAACTGCTTCTCCTTTCTCATGGCTGTATTGGACTTGTCCTGTTAGAAGGAAGTCAGAAAGGGAGGGGAGGGGAAATAGAATACTTAGAACATCTGCAAGCTATCTTGTGCTAATTGTGTTTTTCTGAAGTATATAACCAAGTTCTCTGTGAGATGGTAAATTCATCCAGAGAGGCTGACGTTGATGGATCCTGGGGCCTGGCAGAATCTTCTTTTGATGCTGTCCTTCTACAAATCTACTTGGCTATTTAACACATGTTGTNTTAAATATATATATATATTGCTGTATCATCCTTTCCAACCACAAGCTATTCTTCCTTTCCACAGGCAAAAAAAAGAACCATTTTTGGGTGGGAAACCAATAGAAGTTGACTGACCTCCTGACGGCCATCCGAAACGGTGAAAGTGAACGTGTCAGCATGTTCTTCCGCCTCGCTTGTATGGATGTAGTGGAGGCTGTGGGAGATAAGGTCTTCTTGTTGGAAGGAACTAATCCTTCTGCCTAGAAAACAGGAGCAGAAGAATCAACCTGGTGCTCTCAAATTCCAAGCGTTTCTTCCGGCTCAAAGAATTCCGTCCCCGGAACCTTCCAAACTTGCTTCCAGAAATTCTCCCTTGGGATACTTCGAAATGTGTCCGGCAGCCACATTTATCCCTTCATTTATTAATACTGTCAAGACTTTAAACAAAAGGAGGCACTCCAGGCCTCCTGACTTCTATCGCTAAATAAATCAGCACGATTCCCTGCGGAATTTCTCCAGGGATTCCGCAAAATAGGAGCCTTTGCCCTCACTTCGCTCCAAAACCAGTAAATATTTGCCAACCTGGAAACGCCGTGTGCTCCAAGTGTCCCAGCTGGGGCTGTTTAATAATCCTGTAGAGGAGATCGCTGGATTCTCCACCCTGCTTCTTGGCTGACAGCTCCAAAGGGGTGATTTTTTTCACCGAGTTTTCGTCCAGGGTTAGCCCAGTGTTGACAGTGACGGACAAAGGCAATCGGTCCCCTGGGAGAAGTGGAAATAAGAGGAAACATACAGAGTCAGATCCTAGATCCATCTTCTTTGTCACAGGGTGGACAAGTAGATGGATTTAGGAGGTTCACAAGTGCCAATGGGAGGATTAAAGCACATTTCAGTACTTATTGTCTATGATTTAAGAAGAACTGAGTATAACAGAAAAACAGAGTTGAAAGGTACGTCTCCTATCAAGCAGGAAACCCTACACCACTTCAGACAAATGGTTGTCCAATCTCTTCCTGAGAATGCCTGGGGCATTCACAACTTCTGGAGGCAACTTGTTCCACTGGTTAATTGCTCTCCCTGTTAGGAAATTTCTCCTTAGTTCTAGGTTGCTTCTCTCCTTGATTAATTCCCATCCATTGTTTCTTGTCCCGCCTTCTGGTGTTTTGGAGAACAGGTTGGTAGCCACTGATGACCCAACCCTCTGTGAACTTTGGAGAACATTTCAAAACTATCCACTTAGCTACTACTTCTACAACTATTAGCAGTGAATTTCGTAGTTTAACTTAGCGCTGCATGAAAAATTATTTCCTTCCATTGGTATTGAATCTCTCTACGTTTAGTTTCAACAACTAGCCTCAAGTTCTAACAAAGCCAACAAAATGCAACTCCCTCTGTGTTATTTAAGTTACACTTAAGGTTTATACATCATTTTCTCGTCCATTTTTGTTGTAAGTCAAAGAGCTCCCACTGAGGTCATCATTCCTTATAAGGCAGCCATTCTAGTCCCTGTATTATTTAATTGTCCTGTTTTGAACGTTCCCAGTTCTATAACATCCCTCTTAAGATGCGTCAATGAGAATTGTACATAGTGTCTAAAAGTGCAGTCTTGCCATACATTAGTGTTGTGGCCCAGCAGGAGCCATTGGAGCTGCAAACAGACTCCGATAGCG